TCAAGCGGTTGTTTAGCTTTATTTATTTGTTTTTAGTGTTAGTACGTTTGTGGGGTGATTGCGCTCAGGTTTTTCGTTTGTGCCATGAGACAGTTTCTTGACTGTCTTTGTTTAGACGACAAATTTTCACTTTGCTCACTGTTTGTGGTTTATATTGCACTGCTTTGCTTGCAACATGTCCGGTGTGTGTCGAGTTGTAAAATTTTCTTGCAGCTGAACTTGCCGCCTTCATGGATCGCAAATTCGGCGGAGTGTGCTACGCAGGCGTCGACACCGATCCGGACCTTAAGTACCCGAAAGGAGCCGGGAGAGTTTCGTTCTCCAAGCATCAAAGCTACGTTGCAGCGGTGTCTTCGCGCTTCATTCAGATCCATCATGCTGATATCGATAAAAGAGTAAGTGAACCGCGAATAGATACTGCGAATATAATCCCTTCCCTATTTTATATGACATAACTGCTGTCGTGATAAAGGCCTTACTTGTCAACTGTGCAACTGTGGTTCTTTGGTTACAGACTGAAGTAGACAGTTTTTTATTGTATATATACGTATTATCTATTGAGGTTGTGTTCAGGTTGCTGAACGAGATTCAGCTATTTGAACATCATGCAGCAGTTACAGTTTGCAAGGTTGGCCAGTTTACCTCTAGACGTACGTTGTATAGTCTGTCTCTGCCTGTAAAATTCCCTGAAATGAAGGAATTCTCCTACTGCCTTTGGCACATAAAGTTTTACATATTTTATATCATTTTATCTTTTCATTTTTCAAGTCATTTGGTATTTCATTGTTTATTTCCTGTATTTTGAGCATTTATCTCACCAATCTTCAGCTCATTTTCAGACTTTAAATGTTTTTTATTCTGACGTCTACTCTGTGTTTTTTATCTTTGTTTAAGCAGTTTGTTTTATTTAGGTAGAAATCAAGCCCTACGTTTTGGAGGACCAAATGTGCGATGAGTGCCACGGTGCGAGGTGCGGCGGCAAATACGCGACTCTGTTCTGTGCGCACATTTCGTGCCTGCAGTACTACTGCGAACAATGCTGGCTTACGATGCACTGCAGGAACGGTTTCGAATATCACAAACCGATGGTGAAGGAGGGTTCGGAACGACCCAGACTGCCGCAGGCTCATCGCTGGATGTGATGAGTTTCGTCGTGCTAGCTTCCGAACATCGAATATGACGTTTTCCAGGAAGAGAATTGTTTTTGCGCACGCTAGAATAGTTTTCAAGCTTTTCTCATATCGTGTGCGCAGTTTATTTATTATTTAATTATTTGCTATTTATAATCTATCGTTTGGTTGTTTGAAAGTTATTTATTTATTTATTCAAGTACTTTGTGATGATGGTTTCTTTCTTCCCGCGGCCCGTACCGTCAGCTTTAATTTCGAGACGACTTATTTTCATATGTTTTTCGGTCAGGCCGCGGCTTAGTCTAATTTATTTTGAGGTTGGAATTGCATTTATTATGTTTTTGCCGTTTGTATATATTTTCGTTAGCGTTCGTGTATCATCGCTTAGTTGACTACGACGTTACACGGGCGAGTGTTGTGACGCGACGAATCCGCGCATATGTGTGTGCATGTTTCGCTGGAATTCGTTCGGTCTTTTCAGTCATGCGCTAATTTTACTCGTTCGTTTATTGATACTCTACGAATTACTTTTTTCGCCTTCATCACAGCCTAAGGCAGCAGCCTACTACTCTTTGTCGCTGTTAACAGTTTAGCAGTCGTTAGCTAATGCAGGTGTTTACGTACTTTTACTATCTGTTATTAGTTAATTGACCATGATGCTACGGTATGTACTCTGTTCAGTGACCAAGTGAGTCGTGTCATGCGTGCGTTCATCTCGTTCACTCAGTCGACATCATTTGCTGCCATTAATCATGTGTCGTGCTTCTGTGAAAAATCCGTCGTCCCTCACTGACCGGACGGTTCCTTCATTGGTCATCCGTCAGCGGGCGGCAGTTGTGTCTTTCTTCGTTGTCGAGCGAGCCCAAGTCGTCGCCGCATTCATGTGATTTGTTTTTTTTGCGTAGTGTAGTTTTCATCAACGTGTATTGCCGCCGTTACGCAGTATTTTTTTCTTCATTTTATGGTATGTCGTATAGGGCGTGCGGCACTGTTGTTTTCGATATGCGTCACAGACGCCTTTGAAAATTTGCCAGCTATTAGACAATTGATACTCGTGATTTCCAAATGTACCTTGTAGAATTTTCTTGCTACATTCCGTCACATACGAGCATGGTTTGGTATTGTTTTTTTGCGTTTTAAATAAAATCTGTTCCCGCTTACCTTTATATTATGTTCGATTTGCAGCGGCATTCGAAAATCGCTCGATTCTGCCTTTACTTCAGGTTTTATTTGTATGTCGAACGCACATGCTAATCTCATGCATGTTAACCACATTTAGAGTAGGGCTGAAGAATTATTGCATTTCTTCATCAAGGCATGGTTAATTATGCAACCGTTAATGGGCTTGAATTTCGCTCAGTTATCCATGACGCGGCGAAAACGAAAGCAAGTTTACTGTAAGTTGAAGTTTTTAACTTATTGCTTGAGTAAAAACCACGCAATCGACGACTTCCCTGCAGATTACCAAAGCAGTATCCAATGCTATCGTAGAGGGACATGGTTTTAGCCATGGCTTATGTTTAAATAAACCAGTCTGCCATGAATACATCCTCTTAATCTTCATCTTCTATCGCCGCTTATCCTTTCGGGTCGCGGAGGCAGACACGTCAGAGAGAGCCTCCAACGTTTCCGATCCTGTGCCAGAG